TCAGGTGACTTTGGATTACTTTACATGATAGCTATTTTTGCTAGGTACAGATCCTATTCTGTCTGGATGTTAACATTCTTCCTAGATATAAGTTACCATCCTATTTACTTTCTACTTAGTACTTACTGCCTTCTGCTATCTTCTCTACTTACCTATGGTATGTTCTCTGTTGGGCCATAAGAAAGGTCCTTATAATGTAGAAGGAAAATGTTCCTCTTTCATCCGATTTTTTTTTCCCTTGCACACACACTCTCCTTCTCCCTTTCCTTCTCCCTCTCCCTCTCCTTTTCCTTCTCCCTCTCTCAGTTTGTACTGATCCTGAGGCTTGAACTCAAGGTCTGGGCACTGTCCCTGAGTTTTTTGCTAGTGCTCTACCATCTGTGCCTTAGCTGTGCTCCCAACTTTTGTGGTTAATTGGAGATAAGTATCATGTACTTTCTGCCCAGGATGGCTGTTAACTATGATCCTCAGAGCTCAGCCTCTTGATAAGCTAGGATTATAGACATGAACCTATAATAATTAGCTCTAGGTCATTCTATGCTTTTAAGTGGGAAACCAGAGCAATATTTTTTGTATATCAAAACATTTGGAGAAATAACTTGTACATTTATTTCAATATTCCTGGAGCTCAGTAGGAAATGTTGGGGTACCAGGCTAGAAGATAAATCCAGGTTACAGATTGAAGGCTTTATTCTCTCCCTGCTCCCAATGCAAAGGATAAATAGGTTTGCTCTTGATGTTTGAAACTTCAATGAAGCTCATTTTACCTGTTCTTCTTCCTTAAGCACTGTAATTACTGAGTAGTTTAGGACTTTCAAACTTACTAAAGGTATGAACAGTGGCTCTGTTGGTTTTTCAAGTTGAAGGTACTTCTTCCTCTGAGAAAGAGCCAAAGTTAATTCCTTTAAACAATTGCACTCTATTGTCATTCTGTTATCAAGTAAAGTTTTGAAGTTTATGATTATTGAATTCATTTAAACTAACTAGCAGAATTTACTAACTAGTAGAATTTAAACTTTTATGTTATTTGACTATTATGAGTCATTTTATGTAAACACAAGCAACTGAAGTTCAGCTTTACCTTTGTCTATATTGCCACAAATTAGCATTATTGATATCTGAATAAACTGTAAATTCAGGAATATGATTTTGAATCTACTATAATCTAAAACTTGGTGACTTTTGATGCTTATCAAAGAAAATACCTGTTTATCATATCATTTCTTTTTTTCTCTTTTTTTTTTTTTTTTTTTTTTTTGTTCTGGGGCTTGAACTCAGGGCCTGGGCACTGTCCCTGATCCTCTCTGTGCTCTCTACTACTTGAGCCACAGCGCCACTTCTGGCTTTTTCTATGTATGTGGTACTCAGGAATCAAACCAAGGGCTTCATGCATGCTAGGTGAGCATGCTACCATTGAGCCACATTCCCAGCCCCTTATCATATCATTTCTTCTTTATTCACAATGAAATGTTAATCTGTGTTTGTCCTAATACAAATACCTTCTCATACATAAACATTCCCAAATACAAATGTTTTTCCATTATAAACCATTCATTTATCTATACACATTGGTAACCAGCATCTGGTTACAATCCAGAGATTGAGGGGTCATTTGTTTTGTCTCTTTTCAAGGCAAGAAGAAAGAGAGCAAACAGAAATCAACCACAAACAAACTACAATTTTCATAGGCTGCTTCCTTTTTATACTTTTCAACTTTAGTCTATTATTTTTCACCATGCACTTGGATTTACTGCTATCTGTGGAACATGCCATCATTTAATTCAAATTACCTGTGTACTGTCTTCCACACCTCCGTGTACTCTTAATACAGCAGAGCACTGTGGTTGACAGTCTAGCCTCTGGTGCTAGTCTATGTAGATTCACATTCTCCTTATGCCACCTTTCTGTCCTTAATTTCTTCATTATAGAAGTAACCATGATAATACTTCAAAGTACCTGTGAGAGCAGATTGAATGAGTTTAAACATAAATCATTTAGAACAAATATTACCATTTTTATCATCATCATCATCATCATCAAGCTAGTTCTTTTTATTTTTATTTTTGTCAGTCCTGGGGCTTGAACTCAAGGCCTGAGCACTGTCCCTGAGCTTCTTTTTGCTCAAGACTAACACTCTACCACTTGAGCCATAGCATACGTGGTACTGAGGAATCGAACCCAGTACTTCATGCATGCTAAGCAAGCACTTTACTACTAAGCCACATTCCCAGCTCATCAAGCTAGTTCTTAAATGACCTAGTTTCAAGAGCACTCACTAGCATTTCACAGCTTCTCTCTTAGCGTTTTCCAAAGCCCACTATTATTATTCAGGCAAGATTGGCCCTTCTTTTATGGTGACATATTTTTCACTCTGCCATTTCAATTCATGCCACATTGTGTCTCCTTAGTTGAACATCTGTTTCTTGATAATTGTGTACTCTGAGGTGCTGTAAAAGCGAAGAAGAGCCAAGGAAGTTTGTACTGTAGCTAAAATTCTTTTGGATTATCACCCATATAAATAGTATAGGAAATATTTTTAGTCACTCCTGATGTTAAGGAAACTAAAGACTTTATGCTCCATTAAAAGATATCCTAAGATACTTAACAAACTTTGTTTGCTTTCGAGAAGTTTGTAAGAAAGAACATTTGTTTTATGATTTTATAATGTCTGTAATTTAAATTCCTACATGTATTTCTAACATATAACACAATATACATCTAACATAGTACCGTGAATTTGCAAGCAAACATTTGGAAGCTACAAAAATTTCTTTTTGATATTTGTAAAATGCTGACGTTTTTCTGATTCAGTCTGGCTTTCCCCCAGTCCAAATTAATGAGGTTCTGTTTGATTTTTTAAGTGTTAATAATTATTTCCTTATATTTTATCACTAACTCATGCTGCGAAAATGGAAAGAAATAACTGTCTTCATAAACTTAAAAATATTTAAGCTACTTTAGTTGTATAAGGAGGTGTTCGTTATAGCACCTGTACACAAATATACAACGTATCCCAGTCAATCTCACCTGCAATCATTGTTCCTCTTCCCCTACTTTCCAGAACTATTTCAGCTGTTTAATTGTTCTGTTTTCATATATGCATTTGAAGTAAATCAGTCATATTTCACCTGCCTTCCCCCAGCCTTCTAGAACCTATCCCCCAAAGAGTCATTTATGTTTTTAGTTTACATTAATAGCACAAAGGGGATACATCATGGATTTCACACCGGATAATATTATGTCAGTATAACTGTCCTATTACTCTCTTTCTTCATCCTCCAAACTCCATGTTATCTAACAGCTTTCAGTGGATTCCTTATGGAATCCTCATACTATATATTTTTCACTCTCTGTCATTCTCTTTCCCATCCCTTTTCTTTCTCATGTTCCCAAAGAGTTGCATAGTTCCAATCATATACTATGTACATATATATCTATAGATGTGTTTATGGCCATGTATATTCTTTCAGGTCTAGATTTCACACATGAGTAAAAATATGCAATATTGCCTTTTGAGCTTGGGTTATCTTGTGTTATGTATTGTAGTTCCATCCATTGTCCTAATTATGACATAATTTCATTTTTCTTTATAGCTGAGTAATATTCCATGATATATATGTACCATTTTTTATTTACCTATTCATTGGTGGTTGAGCACCTTGGTTGACTCCACAGTTTGGCTATTGCAAAAGAATCTGCAACAAATATGGGTATGGAAGCATATTTTTTGTATATTGATTTAAACAACTTTGGATAAATTCATAGCAGTGGTATGGGTATGATAGGGTCATAAGGTAAATCTATTTTTAGGTTTCTGGTTTTTCTTTTCTTCCTGGTCCTGGTGCTTGAACTCTGTGCCTGGGTGCTATCGCTGAGCATCTTTTTGCTCAAGGCTAGCGCTCTACCAATTGAGCCATAGTGCCACTTCCAGCTTCTTCTGAGTAGTTTATTGGAGATAAGAGTCTCATGGACTTTCCTGCCTGGGCTGGCTTCAAATCATGATTCTCAGATATCTCAACTTCCTGAGAAGCTAGGATTACAGGCATGACCTACCGGTGCCTGGATATTTTTAGCTTTTTGAAAACTTTAATACTTTTATAAAGTTTGCTCTAGTTTACATTCCCAGTAATAGTGTACAGGATTCCTTTTTCTGCAATCTGACCAGCATTTATTGCTGTTTATTTTCTTGTTGATGGCCATTCTGACAGAGGAAAGATGGAATCTTAATGTATTTTTACTTTTATTTTCTTCCTGCCTAAGGGTATTAAACATTTGCTTTATATATCTATTAACCACTTTTATTTATTATTGACTGACCTATTTGTTCTTTTGTTGTTTAGTTTTTTTGAGCTCTATATATTCTGGATATTAATTCTTTGCTGAATAACTGGGAAAGACTTTCCCCTACTCTGTGGGTTGTCTTTTTATTCTGGTAATTGTTTCGTACAGTAAATTTTTACTATCTGAATTTTAAAAGTGTAGATAAACTATTTGGATCTATCATGACATGAATATTAACAAACTAAATCTAAATATTAATGTAACTGTATTTTATATAATAGTAGCTATATTATTTACTCTGAAAATTTTTACCCTAACTAACTTGTTTGTAGATCTTAAATATTTGTCTTATATATACACTTAACTTTTCTACCCTCAAAATTCTAACTTAAAAATGCTTAAGTATGAAAAAATTCTAAATATAATCTAGAGCCTTAACTAAACATATGTTATCGAAGACCCAAATATATATAATTCTTCTTACTAGATTTTTCAATGTGATGACTAACTAAATCTAGGGAAAGAAATGTACTTTTCCTTTTCTTAGAGTTTATTTTTGTATGGTTAACCAAATACATCTAAGTGTGTTTATTCTTATGACCCATATCTCTAATCTCAATAGTAGCAATTACTTATTCCCTTATAAACACTAAAGGATCTTGGTTTTGTTGGCAATTCAAGGTAATTAATTGATACTTCCTTTAATTACCTTTAAACAGGACAGCGATTCCTTCTGCTATCAGATGTCTTTCTACTTGACTGAAATGCACCTCTGGTCTTTGAGGAATACCTTACACATTGGAGGTAAATGAGTTCCGGATCAATTTCAGTGTTTGTTAGTTTTTCAGTTTTACACCATTATAGATACGTACTAGCAACGTTTAGCTTTCACTCCCTGTCTGGAGTTGCATTCATTTTTTCAATCCTCAGTGAAAAGTTGGTTAGGAGAAAATAATTCCTTTTAATGGATGGAACTGAGACTCTCATGGCAAGTGAGGTGAGCTCAGAAGGACAAATATTAAACGTTTTTTTTTCCCTATGCAGATCCTAGACCTAAAAATAATAATATGTCAATATTATTGAAAGGGACACTGAGAAAGAGGATCCAGCTGGTTGCAGGAGGGAGAAAGGAGAGAATGATAGAGAATGAGTAGTATAGAAAGACATTCTATATATGTATGAAAATAACACAATAAAACTGACTAAAAAAACTGTTTAAAAGAGGTTTAGAAAGAGCAACAGATATGGGTGAATCTGATCACAGTACATTATATGCATGTTAATATTAGGAAGTCCCCTTGTGCAATGATTTTATGCTAATAAAAATTTTAAGTAAGTATATACTTTCCAGTTCCTATAGAGATTCTACATTGTTATTATTTTTAGTAATTCTGTAATTGTTGGAAACCTTTAGTAAGTTCCCAGTGATATGATGATATTGATTTAGATAAGTTTTACCCATGTTCTCATTGATGCATTGGTACACCAGGTTTTCTGATATCCTCACTCCACCTTTCACAAGTATCTCTCTCTGGAACTGCCTTCTTACAAGCTATAATAAAATAAAATCTTGACATTGTAAAAGAAAATTATTCATTTTGATTGCTTTTATTTACAGCTTGAATTTTGTGGGTACATCTTTTCTTTTCTTTCCTTTCTGCCAGTCCTGGAGTTTGAACTCAGGGCCTGGACTCTGTCTTTGAGCTTTATAGCACACTTCAGCCCAGCTTCACTTCCAGCATTTTGCTGGTTAACTGGAGATTAAAGTCTCATGGGCTTTCCTGCTCAGGCTGGCTTTGAACCATGATCCTCAGATTTCAGCACTCTCAGTATCTAGGATTATAGGTGTGAGCCATTGGCATTTGATGAGTTTTTCTATTTTGAAAATAAATTTTATTGGCTTAATATTTGCATCCTATAAAGACTGCACATGCTTAATTTTTTCCTTTGGATTGCTCATAACTGCTGTCTAATTTAGTTAAATATTTATAGGCACTTATATGCATTTCTACTTGATGTTAAAATAAAAATTTAAATAGGTAATATATAGTTATTTTTGTTTACTTTGAGTTTCACATTTTGCAGTGGAGAAGTAATATAAATGTATTTTAACAATATTAATAACATAGGATAAATAAATTTTATTAGAAAACATTCTTAGCAATCTTTTCTTATTTAACTACCCAAAGCTACTTAAATTTTGAGTATGTCTATCTATAGTGAGTTCACCTTATTTAAGGCTTTATTACATGTGGCTTTGATCAAGTGCTACTAAGAAGAAAAATATAAATGAAAAAAAAGAAATTAAAAAATAAAATCCCAAACGTTAAATTCCCACAGACATGACACATCTCACTTGGTTGCAGAGAAGTTCTCAGTTGGTCATCATCAGTTATGTTTATTTAAATTGTGAGGTCTGCTGAGTGTTTCCCTATCCTTAATTTTGTGAAAATCTGTCTGCAAATGGTGCCTTTCTTCCAAACAAGGCAAAAGTTAATGTGTTTAAATGATATAGTGAAAATTTTAGATTTGTTGAAAGGTGACATGTCTTTAGTGGAAGCTGGGAATTGTTATGGGAAAAATAAATCAAGTATCTGCAATACAGCACTAAGCTGCATCCTGAACATTCACAGTTTTTTCCTCTGTACGTGTATTTCACATCATTACTAAGAAAATGGTTTGCCTTATATTGTTTCTTAATATTGAATATATAGCTACAGATGAGTGTCATATTTAAACTGTTTATTTTCCTTTAAATACTAAAGATAGAATTTTCAGCTACATAAGGATTTAACACACATTTGTTTCTTCCCCAAAATTCTTCTAAAAGTAGGGTAATTGAATTAATATAAAGAAGGCATAAACCAATAAAGACTTCAGCGAATAGGAAATGGCCAACTGCAATTTGATTTCTGGTAGATGTAAAGGAAGGAAGAACAGAACTCAACGATCTGAATGTCATTTGCCAGCATAGGAGAATTACACTAACAACCAACTTGTGTTTAAGTCTAGAAAACAACAATACAGAAGGCGGTAATGTGGCCTGAGAGCAACAACAAAGGGACATGAACATCTGCATAAGCAGTGAGAGGGCTGGGAGTATACAGCTCAATGGCAGAGCAGCTGCCTAACAAGTAGCTAGAAATCTCATCCATTCCATCTTTTACCTAGTCTTCCTTTTCTTGCCCTGCTTATGCTCCTTCCTAGTCTTTCCATCTATCTAAAGTCCTTGGTCGCTGCTTCCTGTATTCTGAGGCTGAGTGTAGTGCTGAGCAAAGATTGCCCCATTTGTGCAGAGTGGCCTTGTGGAGTAGTAAAGATCTTCAGTTCCATCAAGCTCTACCCTTTCTCTCTGTGGGGAACATTCTTGTCTGTGAATTGTGTAAAATCTTACAGCTTCTCTAGTACTCACTTCTGGAAGCTGTTCCTGACGTCTAGACAAGGCAATAACCCTCATTCTATGTTCTCATTAAATGACTTGACAATTCAGTATTTTTGAATATATTTTGAAATTCTGAAATAATTCCAAACTCACAAAAATGTTATCAGTACAGAGAATCATTGGTTTCTTGAACCATTTAAAGTTGCAGATTTGATATCTCCAAATCCTTCCTTCAAAGGAATACTGTCCTGAATCATTAATGTCTAGCCATTGACAACAGGAAATTAACCATGTTACATTGACATGATTACTAGGATCTTTTTTTTTCTTTTTTAGAGAAGTAATCTGGTTCAGAACCCATAAATATTTTCAATTTATTGTCACAGGGTTTATTAAAATTTTCTCCCTTTTTGTATTTGTATTTTTCTTATCAGACAGTTAGAAACCAGTTTTTTTCCATAGCTTTAATTTATAAATCATCCTTTATAATCAGTCTCCTATCTCTTTGACCTTCTATGTGGGTTTTGATATACCAAGTTAGACATTTTTCATTTGTTAGTGTTTTATTCATATTGTTCAGCTCCAACCCACACCAAGCCATTGCTCCATGTAAATGCTCTTTGTACCTACAAGGATCCTAGCACACATGCCAGGCTGATTCTGCTTAGTTGCCTTTCTTATCCAGCCCTTGCACCTCTTGTAAGACAGTCTCCTTACATGGATTCCTCCTTGTCCTGCTTAGGTTCAGTCCCAACCTGGGCTAGGTACAGTAGGTTGGACTTCTGCACAGAAATTCAGAGTCCTATATGATCTTCATGTGTTTATTTTAGGATTGTAGCAAATGTTCAGATGTAGGGAATAATTATATAATTATAGGATGAATACTTTAATAGAAGATATTATATTGACATATAATAGCGCCTGTGAGTCTTAGTCTTTAAACAATTTTTTAAAAGTGAAGTACAACATATTTTCTGAAAGTATATAGATCATAAGATTATGTTATGAATGACTGAAAAGTGAACACACCTGTAAAATCACTCCCCAGGCCAAGGAATAAAATAATGTCATTACTCAAGAAGCCCTACTTACCACTTCTCCCAGTCAGTCCTGGTATATAACCACTCTCTTCAAAATCACGTTAATGGTATGATAAGTAAAAGATAGCATATTCTAGAAAACTATATTTGAAGAGTTAATTATGGCAGTAATACTTTTTTGTTTCTTCTGGTTTTGTCATTGAGTTTCACAAAGTTTAGAGCAGTCAGTCACTAGGGGGCAGCCTGTACTGCTACCACTTTTTAAGAAACAGTTGCATCCTCCTTATGTTAGTAACTGAGAATTAATTTTTGCATGGAAGAAAACAAATGTTACTTCAATGAAAGAAATATTTCATTATTCATAGATTTGGTGAAAATGAACAAAATTATTCTGTTCTCCTATGTTTAAATTGCAAGAACAGATCCCTTGGTCAGATCAATCTCAACATCTGGGAAGCCTTGCTTTGCCTCTTACCTAGTCCAGTGAAGCCTCTGAATTTGAATGGGTTTGGAAGCGCTTTGAATCTAAACAAGTTACAGATAATAATTTATCCATACCTCTCTGTAATCCTGTCTTTCTTTCCTGCAGATTTCCTCCCAAATGCTGTAGGATGGAAACTAGACTTTCGAGCTAAATTGGAGAAAAGCAAGCCACAGCTCGGAATCCAACAGCTAGGGCATTTTCTTCCATCCACTGATTTCATTTGGCATTGCTTAGTGGCAGTTCCTTTTGGTAGCGCCCTGTGAAAAATATCAGAGGAAGTGTGAAAGAGAAAACTTGGTCTTCCTTGATTTTAGTTTTTTTTTTTAACTAATCTTTTCCTCATGCCATTATAGTTCTGTGTATTTCCTCATGCCATTCTAACTTTTTCTCATTAGATTGATAAACTTTCCAGTTTCTGCATATCCCTAGAATAGATGAACCCATGTCCAGATGCTTTTGAGCTATTTTATTTCTAGTAACATAAGGAGAACTGTTTTTGCTCCCCTCCCCACCCTTCCCTCCAATATAGTATGGTTTGGCTTCTTATTCTCCAGAACTTTTTACCATAATTTAATGTTGTTTCTTCCTTTCTATAGATAGAGACATCGGCATCTACCAGTATTATGACAAGAAAGATACAGCAGGTAAAGTACAATTCTATTCAACTAGTTTTAGAAACTAAATATCCTAAACTGACCATTGAAAATTGACAATTAAAAACTCTATTTTTATGGACTTTAGATAAATTCTAATTTTAAGAAGGTCACTTCAGTTCTTCAGAAAAATGCTAGGTTAATATCTGCTGTCATCTGATCTATATAAAATAAAGCAATATTGAGACAGTGCTGTGAAGAACATGGAAATTTTCATTTTACTGCTGATCAGGCTGATAAAGGGACAGTCTATTCGCATTTATTTATTGGTGTCCCAGTAGAGGGCATTGTTAATGCATGGGTCCCACTGATACTGGCCTCCCGGATCCTCACCTGATATCTGAAATAGGCATTTCTGAGTGAATGATCAATTTTCTTTATCTGATTAATCCTGTTAATCCCAGAAGTTTTATGATGGGCCAAAAGGTCTCCCTAGCTAGAGTTACTTCCTGTTCTGGGCTCTGTTGAAGTGGGGCTGTGTGAGCATCTTGTGTGCTTAGCGTGGTGGTTAATAGGCTGACTTCATGGCTCTGATGACAGACTGCAGCAGCTTCTCTTCTGGGCTCGGTTGCAGTTCCCTTTCCTATCTGATGAGATTGGAAGCTCAGGATATTGGCCCACCTGTTGTGCTACATAAGCCTTTTCACTGCAAATTTAGGAAATATCTCTAAAACATGAAAACATCCACATTGGGGCATTTTTCTCAACTGTCCTTTTAAAGGTTTAGCAACATTTATTAGTTTCAAGACTGTGTATGATAACCCTGTATGTACATATTAAAATAAAAGTTATTATAATAAAAATAAACTGCACTTCTTTCTTCTTTTCCAATTTCCTCCGCCACAATGTCATCAACAGAGCTTGGTAACTTAGAAGAAAAGCAGAGGTTTGCAGAATGTAAGATTGTTTTTTATTTCTTAAAATTATTATAAAATTAGAAAGTTCAGTATTTTAAAATGTTTTTCTTTCTCCAAAAATTAGAAGTGTTATTCTTAACAAATTTCTAATAATTACATATTATTGCTTATGTACATGAACTATGAGTAAAAATTACATTTGTTAGTTCTAATTTAGAAAATTAAAATCTCTACTCTGTCCAATTTTGATAAAACAATATTCCTATGTCAATATAAATTTTCTTACTGAATTATATTTGTATTATTTAATATATTTAAAATGTACCACACTTAAATTCCAGTGATAGCATTTAATTATTCATACTTTGCCTAAATTATTAACGTTTTATTCATTTTAAGAAAATAAGATTATAGATGAATGTGAGCATTTTATTTACTAGTCTTTGCAAGCCTCCAATATGTATATAAATATAAATAAACATATTTACATGTGTAATATATTATTTATAATGTGGCTACCATGTGATATTTTTCATGATTTAAATATTTAAGATTTTATTTTTATTTATTTTAAATGGTTGAACTGACAATTTTTAGACTACTGTATTAGTAACTGCAGTGTAGATTTTTTTGAAATGATTTAAGAATGTTTTATTTATATTTCAACTCTTAGTGACTAAGAAATCTGAAGTCGGTCTTTTCCTTCTGTGTCTTAGTTCCTCATCTGTAGAACTGTGTAGGATCAGCACTTGGGTGAAGATAGTCAGTATTCAGTGCAACACAGATTTTAAAATTTGTACATATGTTCTGCACATCCAAATTATGTTTATAGAGCCAAATTAGTTTGCTGAAATGAGATATATAGCAAGTCTACTTTCCAATTTAAAGATCTATGTATACTGTATGTATTATATGTATATGCACACATAACATATCTGTACTCACACACAACTCTCATTTAGAATTACCAGTAGGAAGATCTGAAAATGACTATTTTTTTCTGATAAAATAGATGCTGTGAATTTTTAACATTTCGTGTGTGTGTGTGTGTGTGTGTGTGGTGTGTGTGTGTGTGGTACTAGAGATGGAACCCAGGGTCTCATGAGTACTGGGCAGATGCTCTACTACTGAGTTAAACAGCCAGCCCAATTTTATTAATTTTTAAGAACAAAACTAGTTTTAGTTTATCTTAGGCTAGCATTGGGATTCTATTAAATAAAAAAAATCTTTATTTGAAACAAAGGAATATCACTTAGTCATCATATACATTTTTAAAAGGTTATTTAAGTCAGACACTGGTGTCTTCTAGCTACTCAGGAGGCTGAGATCTGAGGATCATGGTTTGAATTAGCTCAGGCAGGAAAGTCCATGAGACTCTTATTTTCAGTTAGTCACCAAAAATGCTGGAAGTTGAGCTGTGGCTCAAGTGGTAGAACACTATCCTTGAGCTAAAAAGCTCAGGGACAGCACCCAAACCCCAGGACTAGCACTCACAAAAATAGTTACTTAAAAAAATTAAAGGAATTTTAATACCTAATATGTTAACATTTGAATGTTTTTTTTCTGTAGTTTTAGTATATGGTATCTTGATCACACTTAAATTCGTATCCTGTGTATCATTTTTGTATTTTTTTCCTCACTATATTTATTCATGAGGATTGTCAGGTCTCTGTAGTCCACTTGCAGACTTTGAAATTTGTTTGGATTAAATACTTTGTTATTTACAAGAAAAAGTTACTTTGATGCTAAAGAGTGGGTCACTACTAGTAGGTACTGCTAGATTGACATACCCAGCAAATTTTCCCAGGGATTCTCTGGGGCATGCTGGTTATCATCATAACAGATCATCAAGGAGATGATGTTTTGTGGTAAAAATCCTGTTCCTATGACAAAGCCTTTTAAAACGTTGTCATTTGATGATAGAAATGAAGCCCACTTCCTCTCAATTGTGGATGTATTTTATTTTAATCTTCCTAAGGCACTGCTAAGCAGAGTTTCCTTTTTTAAATCATGTTTAACTAACTGTAGTACATGTTTTATTTGCCAGCACGAGATTATCCTTGGACGCTCAAAAATAGACGCCCAGAAAAACTTCGAGACTCACTCAAAGAATTGGAGGTATCTTACAAAAAGTTTCAAAAATGGCAACAAACAAATCTGTTTTAAAACATCTTTCAACGGCTTTAATTTTCGTAAAGGATCAACTCTCATGGTGATGATAGCTTTGCTTTTGTCCAGTGAGAAGTTCTTAAACAGTTGCATCTTTGTGTGGCATGCTGATCTTTTTTTTTTTTTTCTTGCTATCAGAAGCACTTTAACTGATAATGACAATGTATGTAGCCAACTGCACTCTCTTTCTCTGTTGTCCTTCAGGAACTGATGCAAAACAGTCAGTGTGTGCTGAGCAAATGGAAGAACAAATATGTCTGTCAGGTAAAATGGTTTGACAAGCTCTTGCAGTGTTTAACCAATGGGGCTGAAAACTATGTGGTAATTGGTATTCTTGTGTTATGATAGATAATGGACAAAAACTTTTTAGGGTTAGATATTTCATAGTTTGAATTCTAGTCATTCTAGAATAAACATTAGGCAGATAGATGCACATCACTGGACTACCTCATTACTCAGTGCATACTGACATACTATATATAACTCTAATAAAAATCTTTTCAGATAATGTTTTCATTTGAATTTGTCTGAATGTTATATTTGATGTTTATTGGCATAGATTTAATAATATTTTGAATGAACATTATATAATATTTTGAATGAACATTATACAAAAGGACAAAATATTTTTATTCATTCTTATAAGCATTTATGAATAGCATATTTATGAAAAATCAACAAGTAAGTGTAAGAGGCTGATCTTAGTTTTTGAACTTCCTAAGCTGCACTGTTTAATATAGTCACCTCTAACCTTATTTGGACATTTGAATAATTAAATAAAATTAAAATTTTGGTTCTTCAGTCTGAATACCCACATTTTAAGTGCTCAGTAGCTGAGTGTTATCATACTGGACAGTGCAGACACAGACTCTTTCTATTGAAAAAATTCTACTGGAATCTATACCTATAATGATACACAGTGTAAGTTGAAACATGCCGGGCATCTTAAAATATGTAGTGGAGCATCCCAGTAGACAATCTTTTCATATAGAACTCAGTGCCTTGTAATAGCAAGTTTTTTTTTTGTTAGTGTTAGATTTGATGAATGTTATAGAAGGATGTCCTTGCTAGTGAACAAATTCAACTGAGAAAGGAAATTTTTATGATTGAGCATATATAATTATATATATAATACAAGTTAGCACTTAATCAGGACATAACAATTAGTGCACACAAAAAAGATAATAGCCACATTAGCTTTGCTGGTAAATCTGAAAAAAATGTCATTTACCTAGAAAAATTTTACTTGGTCTTGATAATAAAAAAAAAATTGCTAGTCCATATTTACTATGGTGGTAATAAGGTACAGATATAAGAAAATAACATACATGCATTTGGGAATTTTTGTATAGGGTTACTAGAAAATAATTTGGCTCAATTTCTTTCATCTTATAAGCATAAAACTATATATTTTAATATTTAGTAAGATTGTTCAACAATTACTTTAAAACAAAACAGCTGATAACAATGACTATGTTTTATCAACTGGCAAGTAAAATACTTTCATTAAATTCAATACGTTTAGTAATTTGTATGTAACAGTTGCTCTGTAATTTACTTTCTTTACTCACCAATATAGTTATTAAAAGTTCTTAAAGTTGAAAAAGAGGAATAATTGATAGTCATCCATAAATCTAAATTGCATCGTTACTACTAATAATTGTAATTGATAGAATCACATATTCTCTTTTAATTTAAATTTATATGTTCTCACTGTGATTTATGTGTAAGTATTCTCATTTGCAGATGAAGTCTATGCTTCTATATATCAGTTGCCAAACACCAAGTTTATAGTGATTAAAAATACTATATTAAATACCATTTTGATGTAGGCTATTGTAGTGATTCTAGTACTTCCTTATTATTTTATCTAAACTAGAACCTTCACCGATTGGAGGTAACTGCCTCCCCAAGTGGTTTGGAACTTTTGCTTTCCAGAGACTGCTTAAAAGTAGAGTGAATATTTTTAGAAACAAAATACTTCTTGAGTTTACTTTAGGATACTCTTCAAAAGGATGGTTTTGTTTTCATATCGCAAGTTGTTTACATTGAAATATTTTAATAAAACTTTAAAGCTTGAATACAAAATATGGTCTAGAAAGTTTCCAACTGTACAACTCAAACTTGTAGCCATTGCTCACCTAAACAACAAGATCAAAATTGTTTGGCTTGAAGGCAAGCCTGCCACTGATAGTAAGAGATATGTCTCATGGCCTCCACCCCTACCCTCACACAGTATAAGTTAGAACATGCCAGACATCTTAAAATATGTAGTGGAACATCCCAATAGACAATCTTTTCATATAGACCTCAGTGACTTTTAATAGCAAGTTTTTTGTTAGTTTTAGGTCTGATGAGTGTTATAGAAGGATGTCCTTGCTAAGGAGTTAGTTCAACTGAGAAAGGAAATTTTTATGATTGAGCATATACATAATTACTTTTATAATTAACAACAATCTGATAGTACTGATTACTTAATCTGCTATACTGGTGAGTCTCCTTTTACCATTTACAATAGGATTTATCTTATGATATGTATTATTTTGTGCTGTATTTCTGTGATAGATAAAATATTCCTAAAATAGATCTTTTATTTTGGGCACATTTTAGTTTTTTGAGATAGGGTCTCTCTATACAGCCCAAGCTGGTCTTGAACTTGCTATCATCCTTCCTCAACCTCCTGAGTGGGTTTAAGCAAACTTTTTATGTAACACATATTAATAAGGTAATCTCACCTCTGTTAATCCTTTCATCTTTAGGGCCTCCTAACATCCTTAAATCTTTGTGAGACCTCCTAACATTATCCATCCACTTCAGTTTCTAGATTTGACTTTAACTAGGTCTTCTGAAAAATGTATGTAAGTCACATTCCCAAAGATCTTTTTATTACAGTAAGTTAAAAATAAATGATGCTTAAGCTACAGTTTTAGTTTAAGGAAAGGAGCTGTTATAAAATTTTTTATTAAATTCTGTTAAATTGTACTCAAGTTGTAAAATAAGTAAACAGCCCCCCCCCCCCCGGCCCTGCCCATTCTCTTTAAGGGTCCAATTTTCAGCACCATGCAGTGAAGAAGTCCTAATGAGATGTGCTCAAATTCTGTTAGTGGTTTCTACACATACAAGGTCTCACGTGGCAGCAGATAACCATGTGTTTTATAACTCTGAGAAAAGAAATGAAGAAGTTTCTGGGTATCCTGGTGCTAACAACATTTAGACTCTCTTTGAATTAATCTACTCTTCCTCTAATGTAATTTTTTATTCTAAATAAATGATAAATTTGGAATGTAGGGAATTTATTGTCTTGGTTGTCTTCTCCTCTTTAAGGGATCCTTAAAGGCCCAATTGCTTGCACATGAATGAAGAAACTACAGCATTATAAAATCTTTTCGCAGATGCAAGCTGAGCTTGGATCTTTCCCTTTGTTGAATAAGGAGAATTTATCTGTTGTCATTACCAAAGCTTAGTTAATGGTGCTGGTCCAGTAACCTATAAATTGTACTATCTAAAAAACAATTTTTCCACTTGTAAATTCAGAACAGTTTACAAGTCAAGTCTTACTCTATGTATAAAGTTTTAGATAAAATTGTCTTTTTTTTTGTGGGGCTTGAACTCTGGGCTTGGGCGCTGTCCCTGTGTTCTTCAACTCAAGGCGAGCCCTATACTGCTTGAGCCACAACACCACTTCTGGTTTTCTAGTGGTTTATTGGAGATAAGGGTCTCATGGCTTTTCCTGCCTGGGCTGGCTTTGAACCGCAATCTTTATATCTCAGCCCCCTGAGCAGCTAGGATTATAGGCATGAGCCGCCAGCACCCGGCTATAATTGTTTTTTTAAGATTGATTTTCCAGACTGTGCCAATTACTAGTTTGAGATACATTGAAATGTGAGATATACATTAGAGTTTTATTTTTGCCACTTTTAAAACATATTTCTCATTATTTTAAATTTTATTTTTGAGTTGACATATATTTGTAATATCATGGAGGTTCATTGTGAAATTTTCATATATACAGTAGTGTACTTAGAACAGATTCACCCCATCTGCCATCTTCCATTTCTCCCCTCCATTTCCCCCTTTTTTGCAAACAATGTTTAAGGAGTTTTATTATGATATATATAGTATATTTGTGTGTATATGTGTCTTTTATATGTGTATTATATTTATATATACATATGATAGACACACATACTCATATACATATATTTTATGTCCTTTGATCTTCTTTGCTTCTCAGGATCCCCTTATCCCCTCTTTCTGCGCTGATCCTATCCTAGATTTTTTCCCCTTTTACATTCATGTCTCAATGCCCTTATTGTTGTTGTCTTTGTGATCATCATCATCATCTTAGGTATATACTCCACAAGTCAGTAAGAATATGAGATATTTACCTTTGTGAATTTTGTTTATATCGCTCAATGTGATGATATTCAGATCCTTCCATTTTCTTACAACTGACATAATTTCATTTTAATTATAGCTGAGCAAAATATACACACATATTCATTGGTTGTTGGACATCTCAGCTAATTTTAATTTTGTTATTGTTTCTCCTGTTTTTTATCTAAGATCTTTCAATTAGCAGAAATTGTTCAATATTTTCTACTTTGAGTTTCATAAGCCATTTTGTAAACTTTTCATAAGAAAAAATAGCTTTAACATTAAAACATTAAATTGTTTATTACTGTGGTGTGGTAGAAACTTCAGATTCCATAAAGCATTGTATCTTAAGTCACATTCTTATTTTCAGGTTAGTTTAAGATGATATTTTATTAAGCATAGATAAAACTTGACACATACTGATTTTAGATTAAATTGACTCATGCAAACATATTGTACTACTTAACTATAAAATATATAATAATTAGCTGTACTCTGATTTCTGCCAATCATAATGCTATGTTTCCAGCTACAATCTTAAAATGCCCTGAAAGGATAATTACATTGTAAACTCCAGTTTCTGACAGACTAAATAAAAAATAAGAACTATTTTCCATGTCTGCCTCCGATAAATTGTGACCTTATGAAACTCACTTGATCACAACTTCTTTAATTGTAGAGCCTGATCTTACCTTTTTATCAAACTGTGTGATGGTTTGTTTTCCTCATAAAATAGAGAAATTGTGGTATTATTACTAGGATTGTTAATAGCATGTTATTTTTATAAAACCCATTGCAGTGTTGATTGCTTGCCTGTAATGGTAGGAGGCATGTGGGAGTTGCTAAGGAAGAGATGTGGGCTGGTCCTCAGCAAAGCCTCATCAATG